TGAGTATACATATATTTCGTACTGTACGTTAGAAAAAGTTGTACTGTACCTTTTTTTTTTATTGTTTATACAGTACCATACACTCCTTATTATATAGTAGAATATAGGTAGACAAGGGGTGTACGGTACTGTATGAATACCTCAGAAATATCATACGATACGATACGTAAGCAAAAATTAACTTATGTATATCACTTGAAAAATCATTATTGTATAAATTACGTATATATATCATTTATAAATTACATATATCATTCGGAAATCATTATTGTATCATACGATATATACTATATTACGAATGATATCGAATTGATTAATTCTCTTTTGCTTTTCCTAAAAGCGAAAATGAATCGTTTTACGAACGCCATAATAATACCAGACGATGACGATAAAATTATTGGCACTTCTACTGTCAAAGGTGTGTTTATACATTTTCTTGGATATTATGTAATATATGTAATATTTTTTAATTAAAGTAATGATTCTTTTTGGTAAAACTTTGACGATCAATTTTTTATGGATATATAATATAAGGCAATACTGTTGAATGTATGTTATGTTTTTTTAATTAAATAGCAATACATAAAATTTTTTTGGTATACAGTATGTATAATTGATAATTAAATTAATGTTTTTATTTTAAAATAGCACCAGTGAATATAATTGGTTATGAAACTGATTCTAATTTGACAAACGAAGAAACAGGATCTCAAGATGATTTCAATTTGGCTGATGATATTTGGAATACTGACACAGAGGAGTTGCAGGAGCCTTATAATCAAGGTATATGCATATATTTTAGATGTATATTTTATTAATTATAATGTATATAGTAATGATAGTAACTTTTTTGGTATCAATTTTTTTTATTAATTTTTTTTAAATATATAGTACTATGTGAGTCAGATGGTTGGAATACTGATATGACGGATGAGTTGCAAGAATCTAATAGTCAAGGTATATTAAAGTTATTTTTAAATATATTAATAACAATATATATTAATACTTGTAATATAATTATTTGATGTATATATTGATAATTTAACTTTTTTTAAATAGTGTTACAAACTATTAATGAGTCTGACGATGGTTGGAATACTGATATATCGGAAGAGTTGCAAGAATCTAATTTATTAACAGTAAGTTATAAAATAATATTAAATTTGGTTTTTGTTAAATGCTATAGTAATATTATTAATTTAAATATATTAATATATTGATATTTTAAAAAGTGGAATTTTGACTATTTACCAAATTCTAGTTATTCTTCAAACTCTAGCGCTAGTTCTTCTACTATTAATAAATTAGATAATGTAGATGATGTAAGTAAAAAATTTTAATAAATTAGTGAATAAATAAATAAATTAATACTTTTTATTTTATAAATATAGTCATTTTCAGAAATTATTCAATTAGGAAGCCATGGTAGTAAAGAAACTGCTGGACAAGTAAAATATCGATTAGAATTTGAGGAATATCCAGAAACAGCTCCAGATGGAGTTGCTTGCATTTATAATATAGCTGGCATGGATCCAAAAAAAGCATGTGAAATATTTGATCTTAAAAATATTCAATACTCTTACAAGGATGGTACAACTCGTGATAATGTTCATTGCTCTTTTTTAAATACTAATGTTTATAAAGAAACTCAATCATGTCATGGAGTTAAATTCTGTCAATTTATTTTACCTGAGCTTAAAAATACTTCACATAAAGTAGTTAATTTTGACGATGAATTATTTAAAAAAATATTTGAAGCTAATGAACTATCTGTTTATACTGCTACTTTGAAGTAAGTTTTTTAATTTAACATAAATTATATACTGTATATAATTTATTAATTATATAATAATTTAATTATTATTTATTTTTAGTGAATTTGTTGCTGCACATAAAGTTTCATGTGAATATTATAATGAATTAGCACAAATACGATGCAATGGAAAGCCAATTTTGGCAAAATTGTATCAGGTATTTAATTAATTAAATATATATTAATTAAATATATTATAATTATATTGTTAAATTATTTTTATATAGCGTGAAGAAGATACTTCACCACCACATTATTTTATTGGATGTCAAAATTATAAACGTGGTGAAAAAGGGCATAGATTTTTATCATTATCACAAAGAACAAATATTGATTATTTAAAACAATTATTTCAAGACTATTCCTATCATGAAAATGAAGTTAATAATGAGGTTTGATAAATTAATATTATTTAATATTTATAAAATGATATAATATATTAATAAATATTTATTTTTTAGTCTAATACTATTCAACATTGTTATACTATACTTCCTTTTAGTGCACAACAAAAAAAATGCCGTAAGTTAAATAATTAAATATTTAATATTATTTTAATATATATATAAATATTAATTAATATTAATTTATAATTTATAGCATATTTACATATAACAACAGATAATAAAATAACTCATGGAACTATCCAAAAACCTAATTTAAAATGTCCTGTTCAATTCTGGCATTATATACCTAAAAACCTTAAAGAATATCCTTTTATTATTATATTATCTAAAGGAATTCATAATCATCCAGCACCACCGCCAGTTAAAACACCTAAATCAATTTTAAATGATTTAAAAGATATAATTCATAATGAGGATATATTAGATCTTACTGCACATAAACTTTTAAATCGTAAGTATTTTTAGTTTAATATTTATTTTTAAATTATAATTAATTAATATTTTATTATTTGTTAGGGCCTACATTGATTTTATATTTAAAAGGAGTTCCATTACCTCAATTACATCCATCTTTAAATAATCTTTCAAGACTTGATGCATTAATAGCATCTAGAAAACGTGCTGAACATCCTTATGGACAAAATATTTATGGTGTTGTATATTTATTAATGAAACAATCTAATGATGAAAATCCTTATATAAGAACTATTAGTAAGTAACATTTAAAAATATTTAATTTTTTATTTTAAATTATAATTTATTAATAATAATTTTATTTTAGGGTTACTTAATGATGGTCAATATCTTGTATTATGTGGATATAAACTACAAATTGAAGGTTTAAGAAAGTCTAAATATATTGAAATAGATATGTCATTTAAACGTGTTCATGGCTCTATTAATGAATGGGAAATATGTGCATATAGTGAAACTTATCAAAAAAGTATAATTTTTTTTACAGTATTATATTATAATTATTTAAAGATAATTAAAAATTAACATTATCTTAATTAACTTTTTAGCTCTTACTTTTGCCTGGGCATTTACTATTT